CGTGGGCAGAAGCATCAAGCTGACTATGTGAGCCAACTCCTGTTGCAAAATGGCTACCCCCAAGTAATTGACCTGGTTCTTCACTCTGTGCACAGCTCTCTCATTCACCTACCACACTTAAGGGCCTGATCGCATTGTCCCGTCTAATGCCCTTCGTACCCAAAGCCTCGACCCTCACCTTTCCGTCTTTTATTATTATTATTATTATTAATTTCTTCATCCGAAATACCAACCAAAATAAATAAATAAATAAATAGATAGATAGATAGATAAATAAATAAATGCAATGTTATTATCTCACCATCCAGTTTCCTGGGCTGAATTGAAAAATAACGTATTTTCATCCCAGTTTGAACCGGCATCTTGTTACTTGGGAGTGTGATCTGAGAACCTGCACTGCTCCTGCAAGTCTCTGAAGAGTGCAGACTCTCAGGGCCCCCTTCAGACCTCCTTATTCAGAATCCTCATTTTAACAAGATACTCAGGTGATGGCTATGTGCATTACAGTTTGGGAAGCACTATGTTAGATCCTACATGCACCCAATAAATATCTATTGAGCCCATGTAGGATGCACAGTAGATGCTCAAAATATGTCATCACTCTTAACGGCTGGGATAAGAGCAAGTACAGACATTTCACCATAAAGTCAAACTTGCGTAAGAACTAAAAACAGCATCTTCGGGAGAGTCGAGATGTTCTAGCGGGCTTAATTATCTTTACACCAAAATTCAGCAGCGGCGACTGCAGAGTGGTTGTGGGAATCTGGGAACTTGACCCGGTTTGCGGCAGGCAGGAGGAATACAGGGGAGGTGGTGAGAGTGCGAGTGCGTCTCCGCCGCCTCAGCCACAGGCCGCAGGAGCTGACAAGGCCAAGTCCCCGCCCCCCTCAGCTGTCACCCTGTCAAAACAAAGCCGCTGCTGACAGCGCAAGGCCAGCCTGCCCCTCGGCCTCGGGCAATCCTCCCTCCCCGGGAGCGCGGTCCCTACATCTGGGTCTACAGCTGGGGGTGGGGTGGGGGAGGCATCGGGAGCTGAGGGCTGGGGCGGAGAAAGGATGGCGAGGAATGTGTGCCCTCAAACTGAGCAGCAGCGCCCGCTGCGAGGAGCTGTCACCTTGCCAAAGCCTGTTTACACCCTGAGCAGCTGGGACAGCGTTTTAACTAAACAAGTAATAATACAATAATGACAGGGCTGTCATCACGCGCTGCAGAGCATCCTCGGTCCGAGGCGCTCCGGAACCGAGCCCCTCTTCGCGCACGGTGCCCACCCTCCCGGTCCAGCGCGTTACGCCGCCTTTGCAATGCCCAGGCGTCTGGAGTCCGGGAGCCTCGTCCACTCTCACCCCTTCCACCCAGCCCGTCCCAGCGGGGCACGGAGAAAGACCAGGTGGAGAAGGCGCGCGCAGGTCCCCAAGATCTTTCCTGGGCCCTGGGGCGCCCCGCCACACCTCAGCGCCGCCGCACGCTCGGAAAGCGCTTCTGGCGAGCTCCTACGCAGCAACAAAGCCCCAGGGCAGCCCGGGAGCTCTGAAACCTAGGCGACCCAGTTCC